GGTTGAGACCACCTAGGAGAGAGGTGGGCCTGGCCCTGGTCGGCGTTCGCGGTTATTTCAAGATAACACGTTTAACGAGATCTTGGTATTTGATCTGAGTCTGGCTACTGGCCTATACGCACTAACCATCTACGCGGGGATAGTTATGGGCACTCGACGTCATGGTATCAGCTGAAGCCTTCGTGACGTCAGCGACTGAGCGGCGCGCGCCGGATTGGACTGGAACGCCTGCTAGGCTAGGTCTGCTTCCGGCCGCGTTCGCAACGTGCAGGTGTGCAAAGGGCGATGGGCCCAGACCCCTGCGCCATAGGATTTAGACCGGCGTGCTGACCTCTCTGTTGTGCCTAGGTAGGGTTGCGACGTGTTGATCTTCCGAGGCCGGGCATGACCCAGGAAAGTGTGTCCAGCCAAATGGGATCGAGCGTGTTGGGTTATGTGGTGCACCCCTGCGGGGAAGTTTAATCTATTCGAATAGCCGTGATCTTCGGTAACAGGACGACTTGGAGTTGTACCTTGACCTTATGACAACTAGAACCGGATACTTAATAAAACACACCCTTCCAAGTGCCAGATACAACCGGTGGTCACTCTCTCACAGGGCGACAAGGGGAGGATCATCGGTTAGGGTTATGCTATGCGATGCTACTTGGTGAACTTACCATTTACTCTCTTCTCCTGCTGCAAGATGGAGGTTACCAGAAGCGTAGTCTTCGAAAGGACTAGCTATCCCCCTCTTATTCCGGCATTCTGCAGTTCAGTCCACATATGATAGCCTTATTCCAGTTGATACCAATGCATGCATATGTAGTGTAGCTCCTTGCTTGCGAGTACTTTGGATGAGTACTCGCGGTTTCTTTCTCCCTCTTTTCCCCCTTTCCCTTCTACCTGGTTGTCGCAACCAGATGTTGGAGCCCAGGAGCCAGACGCCACCGTCGACGACGACTACTACTACTCGGGAGGTGCCTACTACTACGTGCAGCCCGCTGACGACGACCAGGAGTAGTTTAGGAGGATCCCAGGCAGGAGGCCTGCGCCTCTTTCGATCTGTATTCCAGTTTGTGCTAGCCATCTTATGGCTACTTGTTTAACTTATGTTTGTACTCAGATATTGTTGCTTCCGCTGACTCATCTATGATCGAGCTCTTGTATTCGAGCCCTCGAGGCCCCTGGCTTGTAATATGATGCTTGTATGACTTATTTTATTTGTAGAGTTGTGTTGTGATATCTTCCTGTCCCTGATCTTGATCGTACACGTTTACGTGTATGATTAGTGTACGATTGAATCGGGGGCGTCACAAAGGTACAAGCTTGAGAGACTAGAGGACCAAAAAAATACTTATTGGAAGCAGCGAGCGAAGGCTCATTGGTTGCATTATGGAGATCAAAACACTAGCTTCTTCCATTGTTGTGCCTCAGAGAGGCGAAGGGTAAACTTGATCAAATCTCTCAACAACGACGAGGGCGGTGTGGTGGAGGGGGGAGCTGAGAACCTTTATCACTAACTACTACAAGCAACTTTTCTCTTCTTGTGCAGGAACTAGAGAGGATGAGCTCCGTGACAAGGTCTCCCCGATTGTTACTACTGAGATGAATGTCTTCCTTAAGAGACCTTTCACCTTTGAAGAAAAAAATTGGCTCTTAATTAGATGGCATGCGGTCTTTTATAAGCGCTTTTGGGATCTGGTAGGGGACGTGGTGCAGGGCGAAATTCGGTTCTGAACGGTGGCCAAATTCCAGCGGGCTAGAACGAGACGGTCATTGTTTTGATCCCCAAAGTCAAGAATCCAACCCGGCTTAAGGAGTTGTGGCCGATCAGCCTTTGCAATGTGGTGTTTAAGATTGTCACAAAGGTGATTGCTTGTCGGATGAAGGAGGTGCTTGATGTGGTCATTTCTCCTAGCCAGAGTGGCTTCGTCTCTGGACGGCTGATTACCGGTAATATTCTGATCGCTTATGGGACCACCCATTTCGTGCGCCAGAGGAAGGAAGGTAGAGATGGGCTTGCAGCTGTCAAGCTTGATATGAGTAAGGCTTTTGACCGTGTTGAGTGGTCTTTCTTGGAGAAGATAATGCTGAAGTTGGGTTTCTCTCATAGATGGTTGCAGCTGGTGATGCGTTGTGTTACCACGGTCACGTACAAGGTAAAGGTGAACAAGAATCTGACTGAGGTGGTGGTGCCTCAGTGTGGCCTGAGGCAGGGGTGTCCTCTATCACCTTAACTTTTCATCTTGTGCTGAGGGACTCTCGGCTCTCTTTCACCGGGCCGAGGAGGATGGATCTTTGCAGGGAGTTCAGGTTTATCCTACGACTCCCAAGATAAACCACCTCTTCTTCGCCGATGACTCCTTGATCTTTATGAAGGCGAATGAGCCAAGTGCTCGAAGGATCCAAGAGATCCTTGCTCTCTACGAGGATGCGTCTGGCCAAATGATAAACAAGGAAAAGTCCGTTGTTATGTTCAACAAGGGAACTTCTCAGCGAGCAAAAAGGAATTTCTAGAGGATTTACACATTCGGGGCAAAGCCTTCAATGAAAGATATCTTGGTCTGCCAATTTTCTTGGGTAGATCAAAAGCCAAGGCCTTTGAGTATCTTAAAGAGAGAATCTAGAAGTTAATCCGAGGGTGGAAGGAGAAATTCTTGTCTAGAGCAGGGAAGGAGATCTTGGTTAAAGCCATGGCCCAGGCGATCCCCATCTATGCCATGTCCTGCTTTGACATCACGAAATCTTTCTGCGATGAAATTAGCTCAATGGTCTGTCACTATTGGTGGAATAATCAAGATGAGGAGCCCATCACTGGCTGAGCTGGCAATGTCATACAAAGCTAAAAACCGAGGATGGCCTTGGCCTTCGTGATCTCCACATCTTTAACCTGGCCATGTTGGCTAGACAAGGTTGGAGACTACTACAAGACCCTGAGTCTCTATTTGGGAGGGTGCTGCGGGCTAAATATTTTCCTGACGGGAAGCTTCTGGACGATGTTCCCGCCCCTGGCATATAGTACACTTGGCGCAGCATCCTAAAAGGGGTGGACTTATTAAAGGAAGTGATTATGTGGAGGGTGGGGGATGGGACTAACATCAAGGTGTGGGAAGATCCCTGATTCCCGAGGGCGATACAAGGAGGCCTAGATCTTTCCCAGGGCGCTCCCCAATCACTCTTGTAGCAGATTTGCTCAATACAAACACCAGGGGCTAGGACGAGGCGATGGTCTGTGATCTCTTTCAGGAGGAAGAAGCAAAGGCCATTCTCCCCATTAGCATCTGCGAAGGGATGGATGATAATTTTGCTTGGCACTTTGATCAACGTGGCATCTTCTCTGTCAAATCTGCTTATAAGATTGGTGTTATGCTGCGCGATAGAAGGCTGGGAAGAGATGTTGCTCTAAGGAAAATTCTGCTAACATCACTGCCAAATTTGATTGGAAGCATGTCTGGTCCCTGAAGGCCACCGGCAAGGTAAAGATGTTTGTGTGGCGCCTTGCCCACAATAGTCTGACTAACCGCATGAAAATTCAAAAGCTGGGCGTGGACGTGGATGCTAGATGCCATGTTTGCCATAGGTTAAATGAAGATGGAGGCCACACCTTCCTGAAGTGCAAGAAAGCTAAAGAATGATGGAACATTTTGGCTTTGAGAGAGACCCGAGAAAAGCTCATGCTCTGCAATTCAGCCCACTCCATGCTTCAGGAGTTGTGGAGGTGTGATGAAGACACGCAGTTGGAGGTCGTGACCTTTATGTGGGAATGGTGGAATGTTCGCAACAAGGCCAATGCTGGTGAGGCGGCTCCAGAGCCTCAAGCGGTTTGTCACCGGGTGGAGAAGTTGCTAATTGAGTCCCTGGGCTTGCGAAAACTAAACAAGCCTCCTAAGCCACCGGACATTCACAGATGGAGCAAGCCCCCAATGCATCATGTGAAGGTTAACTTCGACGGTGCCTTTGATGAAAATACATGTGCAGGGGGTTGGGGCTATGTGGTCCGTGATCAGGCTGGCGAATTTATCGTTGCTGGTGCGGGCAAGTCTGTGAACCTGAAATGTGATTTGTAATCTGAATCTGTAGCCTGCCTTGCTGCCATTGGTGGCGCGATCAGGATTGGGGCAAATCGAATCATCTTCGAGTCTGATTACTCAACCCTTATACATGCTTTGAAGAGCAACGAATATGACATGGCAACCATTGGTGTGTTGGTGAAGGAAGCTAGAAGCCTATACATTCTAAACTTTGATTTCTATACTTTTTCTTTCGGCCGACGCACTTGTAACTCTGTAGTACATGAGCTTGCCAAGATGGATGTTCATTGTCTGATGACTCCTTCTGGGAGGTCTCTGCCCCCAATTGTATTGTAAAACTGTTAGCCAGTGGCATTGTTGTGCTTGAAGTTTAATGGAATTTTCATTTTCCCGTCAAAAAAAGTTAATCATAATTTCGACGGATGACGAGTGTCCAAGTGAACTCAGCACCACTCCACCAGCATCAATCAAAATTATGATTACAGCATACTTGGCCTCTTTTGGTTCATAGGATAGGATTATCATAGGAATAGGAATGTTGTAGGAAATGAGATGACATGTATCTCAAATCCTATGAATAGGAATAGGAAACAAGATGTCATTTGGTTGACACCAAAGGAATTTTTCCATTGAGTCTAGACTTTTTTTTATTTTCCTATGAAATATGAAGGATAGGAGCCAATCCTATGTAGGAATAGGAATCCATTCATATGAACCAAAGGGCTCTAAAGGAAAAAATCCTATAAAAATCCTATCATCTAGAATTCCTATGAAATTGTTGTAAACCAAAAGAGGCCTTAGTTGATATCTGGATGGGCAATCAGAATAATATTAATAAAGTAGGCATGGCATGAGCATACACACACATGTAGTGTAGGGATACAAATTCCTCGTACTACTAGGTCTCAGCGACCGCACCGCGACCAGCGGCACAACAACAACTAGTGGTAGTAGTAGCGAAGCAGTATATCATCGTGGCTGGCTGACTCAGACGTCGCGGTCGCGCTTGCACTCTGGCGCCATGGCGGCGTAGCGGTCGTGGTCGGTGCAGTAGTTGTAGATGGTGTGCTCCTTCCTGACCCAGGCGAGGCGGCGGTACTGCGCGGCGTCCAGGTCCTGGAACTCGGGCTGGTCCCACCAGCGGGCGCCCTGGGTGGCGCAGAACTTGGCCTCCGCGGACGCCTCGCAGCCGTCGACGTGGAAGCCCCGGTAGGAGGCGACGAAGGGCGCCTTGGACCAGTCCGTCTTCTCCCGCCCGCCCCGGGTCGCCCAGTCGTCCGCGTTCCACAGGCTGGAGTAGAGCTTCATGGGCTGGTCGAACGGGTACCGCACCCCGAGGTCCTTGCTGTTCTTGAACACCCGGATCGGCGTGTCGTCCACGAAGAACCTGCATGCATGCCCAATGCCCAATGTCACGTCACAACCTCCATTTTCCTATTAATATTTCGATTCATTTCTTTTTCTTCTTTTACGAGGAAAATACTATTATTAGTAGCGGCGTGGCAATGAGAGAGACAGCGCGTCAGACATCGTGTCCGGTGCTCAACTTTGCAGAAATTCTGCATGGACGGTGCAGTGAACTGTAGGACTGCACGCGCCACCCCATGAGCCTGCCTAGTACTCTGGCCTCTGGGGCATAATTGCCTTGCCTGGAGCAGCGGGCCCAGGGCAGACCGACCTCTACCTTTGGTAGGAGTATTCATGTTGCTGTTCAGGACATGCACGCGCCCCGCATCCATTGCACATGCGCGGCCATCTTAGCCCTTAGGCCAACTTCGCACATGCGCGGCCATCTTAGTCCTTAGGCCAACTTCACCGCGAGACCCAAACGAATGTCCGTTTTATTTTATTTTTGTCCCTTTGGTAAAGATTTGGAATCGTGTTCGGTTCTATCCTGGAATGCGGTGGCCGTGCACCCACCGCGCGGACGCATCTTTTTGCTCCATCCTGTCTGCGTCTATTTAAAAAAAAGAGACATTTCAAATGCTAAGCCCCAGTTCACGACTTCAGTTCATCACGCCGGCAACAAAGCCAGCGGCCTACACGACCATCACCGACAACACAGCCAGCCTCCAAAATGAATAGTTGTCCTCGCCGGCAACACAGCCAGCGGCCTGCAACACAGCCGGCCTCCAAAGTGAATGTTTTTTCGCCGGCACACTGCCAGCGGCCCAGCGGGCGGGCGGCACCCATGCCAGCCTCCAAAAAGAACGGCCACGCCGATCGGACGACCTAGTTCAGGTCTTCATGCCACGAATCACCATGGTCGTAGTCAGCATGATCGTCGGCCTCCTCATCGGGCACGTACTGGGCGCGGCCATCCTGACTTTGGGTCTCCTCGGGGTCGTAGGCACGGCCATGCCCATCCTAGAAGATCACGTCCTCCATGTACTGGTTGTAGAAGGGGTCGTCCACCTTCGGCGTTGAGGTTGGCATTCCGTCAAACAACACGCGGGGGGCCGACATGGTGCCCGTGAACGGTGCACGCGCCTGCTTTCTTTGCATCTCGACGGACGGCCGCCCGCCGCTGCTGGACCCAGGCGTGATGTTGAGGTCGATGACAGCCACGGTGCGTGGTGTGGACGGCGCGAACAAGCCCACGTCCGGCGACGCCAAAAAACGGGTCTGGCCGTCATGCCTGGGCGGAGGAAAGCCGGGTGACATGGGCGTGGCGCGCGACGTCGGCGACTGGCAGTGTGTAGGTCGGGCGACCGACGAGCCTGTGCTCGCCGGGCCGACGGCCACTGCATGAAACCCCGCCGGACGGCCCATGCCAAGCATGAGGATAGCGTGCGCTTTGTTGACGAGGTCCTTCTTCTCGTCGGCAGCGGCCTTGCGCCGCGCGGCCTCCAGCTCCTCGCGCTGGGCGGCGAACTTGGCCGCGGCGGCATTGATCTTGACGACCGCTCTCCGTTCCCAGGCCGCCGGAACTCGGCGGGGCGTCGGCCATGGACGGGGGAGAGAGGGGGCGGCGGGAGGGACGTGGGAGGGTTTGAGGGAAATGGCGCCAAATGAGCATGGGGGGTTGGTTTCTCCCACCGACAGACGGGCCAGGGGAGGACAAGTGCGCGCGTCCCACCCGTCTGCGCGCTGTCCGTTTCACCCCAAAATCGCCGCAACTTTGGGCTGGGGATGGGTTGAAAGCAGATACAAAGCAGACAAAAGTCTGTTTGCGCCCGCGCGCTGGGCCGTCTCGTTTGTCCCTTTTACCCCAAACGGACGGGGCGGATAGGATAGGGTCGCGCGGTGGAGTTGGTCTTAGGTGTCGTGCTGCTTGTTTACGGATATTATGCATGTTGCATGAGCAGTACTACAGATTTTAAAATATCATGTATTATGGCACGGAGGGTACTTGTCTAGGCCTCCTTTGATTTGTAGGATTTTTATAGAAATTTTATAGGATAGTGTTTTTCAAGAAAAAAAATTTAGAGCTCTTTGGTTTGTTTGTAGGAATGGAATCCTATTTCTATGAAGAAATTCTTCATATCCTTCATATTTTATAGAAAAATAAACATTAGCCTAGACTTAATGAAAAAAAATTGTGAAATAAATTAAAGGACATCTTCTTTCCTAGGTTTGTAGGATTTTTATAGGAATTTTATAGGATAGTGTTTTTTAGGAAAAATTCTTTTAAAACCCTTTGGTTTGTTTGTAAGAATGGAATCCTATTCCTATAGAGGAATTCTTCATATCCTTCACATTTCATAGAAAAATAAACATTAACCTAGACTTAATGTAAAAAATTCTATGAAATGAATCAAAGGACATCTTCTTTTCTATTCCTATTCATAGAATTTGAGATGCATGTCATCTCATTTACTATGACTTTTCTATTTCTATGATTTTCCTCCAAGAAGAGAGTATAAGTTATATGCTCATAAAATAAACTGTATCATCGTAAATGTTTTTGGATACGAATAAAATAGCATTACATAAGTTACTCCTTCTATTCCGAGTTATTTGTCGCAGGTATGGAGGTATCTAGATGTATTTTACTTCTAGATACATCCATTTCTGCGACGAGTAATTTGAAACGAAGGAAGTACATTTTATGTTAATTAAATATGTGGTTTAAGTTAGACAAAAAAATTGATTAACCTTACACGCGAAATCTTGTAGATTCGTTAACTAATCAGTTCCAAACATCATCAACTAACTAAAGATCGTCTTCTCATTTGTCACCAATAAGGGGGAAAATAACTTTTTTTTTAAAGAAAGGGGGAAAATAACTTAGTAAGCAGGAATACGAAAGGGGGATGGAAGAGCTACGCGATCATGTAGAGGTTCCAGAGGACGGAGTAGGAGTGGTAGTCCTTGGTTGGGTCGAACCAGAGGTAGATCCTCTGCTCCCGGTCGCCCTTGCCGCCGGAGAACACGTTGGTCTGCAGGATGTACGGCTGCCCCGTCCTGTTCCCCAAGAACTCGAAGTCGATCTCGTCGTGCTCCGAGTTCTGTGACGACAGCTGCAATAGCAAATGCAATCCAGAAGCAAACCATCACTTACATTACATCTTAAGCATACTCCTGCACTGCACAAGGGCGAGAATGCGAGATGGAGATGAACGTGAGGCGTACGTAGAAGGCGGTGACGGTGCCGGCGGAGTCGCCGCCGACGAGCTTGATGTGCATGCTGAAGTGGCCGAAGAGGTAGGAGCCCCGGGTCTGGAAGCCCGTGCCGGTGGTCTTGTCCAGGGACAGCTGCACCTCCCGCCCGCCGTTCACGTAGTGGATGTGGTCCTGCGCCCACGTCGGCACGTAGTTCTTGTCGAACGGCACGTCCACCGGCTTCCGGGGCGGCGCTGCCGCCACGCCGCGTAGCAGCACCGCCGCCACCACGGCGAGGAGGGCCCCCGCGGTCGCCTTCATTTCGCCGGCCGGCCTCTCTTCCTCCTTCTCTGTTACTTCTTGGCTTGGCTGGTTGGTACTACAAACAATGGGCGAGTGGTGGATGCGAAGACGAAGAAGCCTGTGTGTATTTATAGCTAGTGTGAGCTCACTGTACGTAGGTTCTTGGAGTACATTATTGGTTGCTTGGCGAAATAAAAATAATCTGTTTTGACGTGGCACTAAATGAACATGATGGATCGAGCGATGGCAATCGAGTGATGAGTGAGCCAGCTGCATCCAGTGCATGGGGACGCTGTGGAGTGAGGTGCTTGCGAGGTGCAATGCTTGTCTTGTGCGTGTCAGGTTGGCCCAGTGCGAGCAAATCAAGCATTGCTGATTGATCCACGGATCATGCACACCTCGCAACTTGCTGCCATTGCCACTGATTTATTTGCCATCGGATCGGAGTACAGTACGATTTCTTGTTTTGATTATAAGTATATATATGTTGAATCGAGGCAATAGTATCAGAATTTCATTCGACGGACCAGCCTTTTCGTCTTTTGCAGCATTTGCTGTTTCTTCTACTCTATAGAAGGCTCATTTCTGCGTCAGATTTTGAGGAGTTGTTTCAGATGAGTTATTTTGTGAACCTGTTTTTACACGAGTTTTTGAGAGGTTGATGATGCCGCGAAGGGCCGGCCCCAGCTTTGATCCGTTCTTGTGCAGGTCAGGTCTCACACACAGCACAGTGGCTGGCAGGAATCAATGCAGGTCACATGGCTGTGCATGTTGCAGACTCGCATCACAATCAGGAGCCCGAATCTCCAAATCCAACGCCACGCGTGCCGCGGTCGGGTCGTGCTGGACCCAGCCGGAGCAACGCTACCGACACGGGCCCGCTCCTTTCCGGTGGAGTCGAGGTACTGCAGCTAGATCCATGGGCTCATCCTGTGATTAGATTAGGGTAAGCAGCTGGACTCCATTTCAATGGATTGATTGAAAGCAATGCACCGCCGGTGAAAACACTTCTATCATTCAGTCAGTCTATGATGCTCCTTCTCCCCGCTAAAATCTTTCTGTGGCAGATTTTATCCAGTACTAGTATTATAAAGCTAGTATGTAGTACTCCCTTCGTTTTTTTAGTTTATATATAAGGTTTGATTAAAGTCAAGCTTTGGAAAGTTTGACTAATTTTGTATTAAAAATATCAACATTCACGATATGAAATCAGTATTATTAGATGTGCCATGAAATATATTTTCATACTAATAGTTCTATTATTGTAGATGTTCATAGTTTTTGATATAAATTTGGTTAAATTTTACGTAGTTTGACTTTAACCAAATTTTATACACGGATAAAAAGAATAAGAGGGAGTACCACTGAGCAGTGAGCACTGTGGTGTGCATTCGAGTTTCCACATCCGTGGTTGCTCGTGAGTCTTGATGACATGGGAACCGTTGGTTCCATGTGATGTGCCCATGTTTTATCTACTAGTGATGTGCCCATGTGGTAGTATTATATAAGAATATCTTCAGTCGCGTCTCTAACAGGTCTCTCAGACCATATTTTTGATGTTGGCGTCAAAAAAACGCCTCAGTCGCGCCCTAGGATGACGGATAGCGCTGGTTTTGTCTTTTTTCGTCCGGCGCTCGCAGGCCGAACCCGGCGCATTGGGGGGCGATCGGAGGCTCCGGCGCAAGGGAAAAGCGCGACCGACCCACACCGTCAGGTGAAAAGTCAATATTTTCTTCCGGGCTCGCCTCCCACCCCCCGCGTCCTCGGCCGCCACTAGCGATATTCCGGCGCCGCCCGTCGCCCTTCATCGCTAGATAGCTATTCCCCGTCAGAAAAATAGCAGAGGTTCGCCGCGGCAGCCCCTCCAACAGCAGCTGGGCATTTTCGGCCGCCGTTTCCGGCCGCGGAGGGGCAGTTTAGCGGCGGGTGCACGCCCATCGGGCGCAAGGTGTTCGGCGATTTGCATGCCTCGGCGATGGACTTGGATGACGAGGAAGCGCTCGCCGCGCTACTGGAGGAGGAAGCCGAGGCCGACGTCCAGGAAGAAGAGCACCTCATGGTGCTCGCCGCCCTCGCCCAACTGCTGGCGAGCAATGAA